AACAATAGTAATTTTCATAATATTAATAATAATTCTTTAAAATATTATTTAAAATTCAAATTCTAACTAATAAATATGTGAATTAAATATAATATTATATTAGATACTGTTAATATAATAAGATTAAATTTTAATACAAGTTACTCTTATTATAGTGAACTCTTAATATAGTGAAGACTAATTAAAATCTCAATATAGTGAATTTACTAATAAAGCTCTCAATATAGTAAATTTTTAAAAATTATTATTAATAAAATGAATCATTTTACTATAACGAAAGTGACTTGTATAAAAGTAACTTATATATAATAATTATTAAAAATTTTAATAGAATACATGAGTATATACTTTAAATTTGCCAAGACAAATATTAATTTTTATTTTAATTATTTAGTATTAATTAATTTCTTAACTTCAAATTATATAATATACAGATAGTAGCATTATAATTAACTACTTAATATTGTGCAATCTACTAAAAGTTTTTTTTATTAGATATATCATATTATTATTCTATCTTATTTTAATCATAACATTAATATAAATATATCAATTTATATTCTCTTCTTACCATATTTTAGTAATATTTAAAGATGTTTTATAGCCTTTGTAAGTGAGACTGTAAAATTGATAAAACCAAACCCAGATGAATATGTAATATTACATATATCAGATTTTACTTTCTTTTTCCACCCAATAATAATTTGAATAGGTTTTGGTTTATAGATTTTTTTTTTCAAATACTTTAGATTTTTTAATTTGATTAAGTTTTTGAAGAGGATCTGATTCTTAAAGAGAATTTAGTTCTTGAAAAGAATCTGATTCTTGAAGAAGATCTGGTTCTTGAAGAGGATCTGGTTCTTGAAAAGGATCTGGTTCTTGAAGAGGATCTGGTTCTTGAAGAGGATCTGGTTCTTGAAGAAGATCTGATTCTTGAAGAAGATCTGATTCTTGAAGAAGATCTGATTCTTAAAAAGGATTTGGTTTTTGAGAATCGGATTCTTGACATACATATAATTTCTGAAAAAAATCAGAATTGTTTGGATTTAATGGTAATTGGTATGATAAAACAAATGTTTTTTGATGTTATAAAAAATATTTGACACCCTAATTATCATCTCTAAATATATATGAGAAAGTAGAATATGAATTAGCTTCTTTAAATATACACTTATAATTTCCTGTTTTTGGATAATAATTATGAATATATCCTTTAAAAACATTAAAAAATTAACTCTCTGTGCAATTAACAATGACATGAGCATTTCCAGCATGTTTTGAATATTGTTTTAATCTTTTTTTAATATGATAGACTAAAGTTTTTCATGTCTCTTCAATTGCTCTTTCAGGCAACTCATAAATCGTTAGCCTTATAGTATTAGCATCTTGAATTAGTTTTTTATGCTTAGCTAAACCTGAATGTCGTTTATAAATCTTTTCATATAGTTCACACTCAAGCTTACTACAAGATGTATTATCTCGAATTAACATAGTTGCTATAATTAACATTAAAATAGTCAATACAGTTTATGATAAAAAAAAAAAATTTTTAGGCATAACAGTATTATATTTTTTAAACTTAGTTACTTAGCTCTAAAATATACTGATAGGTTTATTATACAACTGATGGGTTACTTATACAACTAATAGATTACTTATTAAAGATCTTTGGACTTTAAATAATTTGAGTGATCAATATTAACTTTGCTAAGGCATTAAGTCCTATGATTTATGTTACATATAATAGAATATAGTGAATATAATAACATTAAATTAGGCCCAATTTTTTGAATTCGCTAATATGCAATATTTTGAATATTAGCTAAACTATTAAAAGGAATCCATTCAATTATACTATAATAGGATGTAGCTTTAAGTTGAAATTCCTTAATGCACTTGTCGATATTCTTATTTCTACTTGTCCATCCTTGTGTTGTCTTCTAAGGGTCACATGTTTGGCACCAAGCTGGAGATGTATTATATTGTTTGCAATTTGCACATTTTTCATATATTAAATATCTTTTAGAATGAAATTCATCAAATACCAACATATACTTATTTGTAACTGTATTTTGAGTTAATTTATAAATACTTTTATCCTCTAATTAACTCATTAATTGCTATATTAAATATAATAATATAGTAACATACACATTAATAAACTACATATTTAATATAATAAGATAATATAAACTTACCTCTTTTAAACTATTTGGTAATCTAGTCAATATTTTAAGCTCTACTTTATATGATGGTAAATGTGACTGTGTGCATTTATCACTATATCTATCTTTTATATTTTATATTTTATCTAACCAGGTTGCTAAAACTTTATTGCCAATATTTTGCATATTAGCTAATCTATTAAAAGGAATCTATTCGATTACATCTTCATTAAATGTAGCTTTAAGTTAAAATTCCTTAATGCAGTTGTTGATATCCTCATTTTCACTCATCCATCACCAAGCTTCAAATGTGTTAGATTGGTTGCAATTTGCACATATTCCATTATTTTTATTTCTTTTAGAATCAAATTCATCAAATACCAACATATATTCGTTTGTGGATGTGTTCTGAGTTAGTTCATACACCTTATTATTCTTTAATAGTACATAATCTATAAACTTATTAAGCATACTGTATATTAAAATAAAGTACATCACAAATTTATTTTTATATAGAATTATGTAGAATTTTTATATAGAATTATGTAGAATTTTTGTATAATTATATTTAAAAATTGTATATAAGTTTACAAACCCAACATATACTTACATAGCAATACTTTTATATAAATAAATATATAGATGGAGTTATATAAAATTTTTAATAATATTTATTTAACTTTTATATAAAATTAATTAAATTAAAAATTAAATAAATTATATGTAAAACTTATATATTTATACTAATAAATTTTAATAACATTTATTTATTATTTATATAAAATCAAACCATATACAAAGTTTATTTAATTATTATATAAAAATATAAATAACACTTATTTATTATTTATATAAATCAAATTTTATATAAAATTTATTTAAGTATTGTGGAACTTCTTAAATAAATTACAAATAAAAATTTAATAAAAGCCAATAATATTTAATTTTGCATAGAATTTATATAAAATATTACATCGTTTTTGAATAAAGCATAAGCAAATAATTATATATTTAGCAATTATTATAGCATGTTCAAAAGAATATAATACTGACATATTTATACTTGATGTTAAAATTGTATTCTGTTGGTTAATTTCTTTAAGATTTTAAATTATAATACATAGTAGTCACTATCACTATTGGATGCATTCGAATCTTCCTGATGATCATCATTATGCTGTTACATATAAATAATTAAATTATGTGATTAAAATTTATGCACCATACTTGCAGTACCTTAACAAATAATATATTACCAAGAAATATTGCAATTTTCATGTCAAGTATTTTTCATCGAATTTAATCTTGGTAATTTTGGGATTGAACAGATTATGTAATATTGCATGAGTAACTGCATGTTGATTTCTTGTGGGTTGCCATCCAAACACTTTTTTGGTAACCATTTGAAGATACATCTTGTCTTCTTCTTTATTCATTGTGTCCAGATTTTCAAAATACTACTGTACTTCTTCGCTCAATTTCCAGGAAGCGATTTCGGATTCAGAACTTTCAGAGTTAACAGTTGGAAAGACCTTTTATTAAAAAATATGCTCAAATACAGTACGATGGAAAGTCCCAAATAATGCTTCACGATATTTACAAGATTCAATGCTAATTTAGATATAAATTTTAAAAATTATACAATTGTAAAAATGATTTGTTGAATAATGTTACATATCATATTTTCAATTTTACAATATAAAGCTTCCCATTTGGAGACTTTATTGTATCGTTCCATTCTATTCGGACAAAGATTGTCAAGCTCTTTTCGAATGGCTTGTTCATAAACCTTATCGCTAGAATAAAGCCAATTATCAACAACAACTCTGATTCCTTGCGTTGCTCCTTTCTATAAATTAAAATTAAAGAATGTTTAATACAGTCATCCCTTATTAATATTCTCATATATATCAACTTTAATACAATCCCTCATTAATATCACTATCAATGTAAATTTAAACCAATCTAAATAGATTGATATTAATGAGGGACGACTGTAGTAATATAGTACAATAAACCGAATCCATTTCAGCTTAGAATTTTTTTTAATCAGATTAGAAAAATTAATATTCAAATATTAAAACCTGATAGTATAAAACTGAATCCTATTTGGTTAATTATAATAGTTGATATACCTGTCACCATTCATGGCCATTTTCCTTTGCCTTTGGCTTTAAATTTTCATACGATGATTGTAAAATCCTGACGTCTTTAGTAAGTTGAGTAAGCGTAGTCTCTAATGTTTCTTGCTTTTCCATAATTGAAGTGTTCTGCTCCAATATTTTTTTGGTTATGTCTAGCAATGAATCGATCGATTTATTTTCTTTGTTTAAAGCTAATTAGTTCAATAGTAAGTATTTATAATTATAATGTAAATACAGTAAAACTTTAAAAATTACAACGTCTACATCAGCTGAAGGATTTTCTAAAATTTCATTAAGTGGTGATCTGGATGGACTTTTGATAATTTCATTCTTAATATCATTGTCAATATCAATAACATTATTACTATCAATGTTATTTTTGTTCGTAGATAGTTCTTTATTCATGCCTTTGAAGGGTTGATTAATAGAATTTTTGATATTTTATCATTTTTTTGTGGTAATGGCTGATGATCTGGTTTTTAATGCTTCTAACGTCTAAAAAGAAAAAAAATTGAAAGCTTAACAATTTTTTAAAAAAATAGATGAAAGCTTAAAATTTATTAACTACCAAATTAACTTCACTCTGTTTTGAGCCAAGACTTCGCTTTCGACTTCTGGTAGTCATAATAAAAAAGGCTTTTAAAAAATTTTAAAAAATAAATTCCAACCACCACTAATCACTGTAAAATCCAATTATTAGTAGGTGCAAATACATATTACATAATAATAAAAATAATACGATAGGTTTGTAGTACATTCAGATTAAAAAAAACTACATATATATATATACTTATATTACCATTTCAAATCGCTATTTTTTCCATTACAGTATTTTATTTAGTCACATGATCGAATGGCTTAAAGTCGTGTAAAAGCACTTTTGGTCTAAGTAAATATGATAAAGCCACAAAGTATTGCTTTCTTTAATTGCAGTAAAGCAGATACATTTGAGAGAAGCTTTTGCTCTTTCAGAAATGTTAGAATTCAAGTGGCTTGAGATTTAATATAAGAAAAAATAAAATTATATGACTTCAGTTTATACAGTAAGTAAACACAACGAATGAAAACAACATATCTATGATTATTAAAAAGCTGGATATCATCTTTATATTTAACAAAAACGTAAGATGTTTCGCAACAGTTGAGAAAAAAGTAAAGATATAGAGAACAGTAAGAAATAACTTTAAATATATTTATATAACCCGAGACTACTTTGTGTAACATCCTCTAGTGATCGATCCTCTACTAGAACATTTGTTCTATCATTATCTATTATGATGATCAAACTGTGTAACATATAGAATATTTTTTTAATTATATTCGATTTTATAAGCAATTACCTAGATTATTCGATCCTAATTGTTAATTAAAAAAGAAAAACAATGTATTAATTAAAAAATGATAAAATTGGGAGTATGAAAATCTGATGATGTAATTCATTAAAAATATTGCATATAAAAGCAAAAAAATGGCTTTAATAAGTTTTTATAATAAACTGAAAAATAAAAGGTAAATCAAGATATTTGTAATAATATTGTGACAAGCTGCTATTTATTTATATTAAAATGATAATGTGACAATAAAAGAACATCAGAAGATGTACAACATACAAAAAATATATATATTTATATATTTATATATAACAATAATTTTGTTTATGATATTTAAAGTACTATTTACAATTTAGCTTTAATTTATTTTTAGCCATTTTCAATGTTCACTTGTCCTGTGTGTAAAAGAAGATTTGGCCATTTAACGAGCCTTATAAATCATAAAAAAGTTCACAAGAAATACTATCAAATTAAAAACAACACTGACACCAGTACTGATGAAAAAGTTGAAGATGATTCTGTAACAAGTACTGAAGACGATTCAGTAACCAGTGTAGATGAGAAAGTGGAAGATGATACTGACACTAGCACTGATAAAAAATTTGAAGACGATGCTGAAACCAGTGCAGATGAGAAAGTTGAAAGTAACATTAACACCAGTATGGATGAAGATGACACCAACACATGTATAAGTGATAATATGGATATTTATAAATCAGAAGTAAGTAGAGGAACTAATAATTAAGTATTCGATGAACAAGATTTCGTTGATGATGTTAGTCTTAGATCTGATGACCAAGATATTGTTGACAATCCAAATATCATTGACCAAATAATTACTTGTGAGTCTGGCCAAATATTTGAAGAGTGTATATTAGAAAGCCACAAGACTATTATGAATGCCAGAGTGATGATAGTGATTGTAATAACCCTAATAAAATAAACAGCGAAGAGTTTTCACATACTGCATATCAAGATTTTATTGAAATCGTAAGTATTACAATTTTAACATGCCTTTATAATAAATTTTGATACATGAATAAGAAAAATTATCTAAATTAGCAATTATTATTATTAGATAATGAAGTATCAACTTTCTTATAAGGCCAGTAATGCCATATTAAAGTTTGTAAAAAAATATGGCAAAATTTCAAAGAAGGTTCTGCCTCGATCAATGAAAGACAGCCTCCATTTCTTAGATAATTTGAAGAAAAGTTATAATGAGTTTTTTTTGACCCCCGTTATACAAATAAAGGATCAAGTTTATTTTTTTGAATATCGACCAATAATTTCAGCAATCAAGGAAATTTTTCAAAATAAAGAAATTGTGGCAAATTGTGTTTTTGATTACTAAGAAATTTATATATCAATTATGGTAAGTAAAATTCTTAAAAATACATTATCGTAATTATGTAATTGAAAAATTATGTAATTGAAAAGTATTTATAAAATTGCGTATACTTGCATATTAACAATATAAATTGACATTGTTTTAATTTTAGGGACATCAAAAAAGGGTATACTCTGAGTTTTATAATTGTGAATGGTGGAGTCATGCACAATAACATATTTCACCTAAAAATAAAGTTTTAGCTATAATATTATATTCAGATGCAACTATGTTGGATCATTTAGGAAAGATTTCATGACATCCAGTATTTATCAGCTTAGGCAACATTCCAACAAAATTCTGTAATAAACCTGAAGCTAAGGCACTTGTTAGTATTATACCAACATTACAAAGAACATTAGAAGAATGGCAAACACCACAATTTAGACAAATGATTCAATCAACATTTCACAAATGTATGAATATACTATTCGAACCATTACATTTACAGTATCGTTTAGGTGTATTATTTAAAGTTAATAGCCGTTATTTAAAATGCAACATGATGCTATCTTGTGTTATTGGTGATTGGCCTGAAAATTGCAAATATTGTTTGACCTACAGTGGAGCAAATTGTGCACATCCTTGTCACACCTGTCTCGTAGAAAAAGATAAACTAAATGCCATTAATTTACCTAGTAATCACAAGATTATCCGAACTGAAAATCTAATGCGACAGATTATGAAAATGGGAAAATGTAAAGACTACTCACTACGTGAAGAAACTAACAGTTTCTGGACTCATTTGTAAGTGCAACAATTACTAATTCTTAATGCTTCTTTATTAAAAATATTTTTTTCTTTTTTTTGGTAGAAATTTTAATATTTATACTGCAACAGTTCCTGAATGGATACACCACTTAGATCTTGGCTTATTTTCATATATGATTAAATTCACATGGGATTTCTTAAAATTTCATAGTAGAATTTCCCTTGTTAATAAAATGGATTTAAGGTTTGAACTAATACTGCGTTATCCAGGATTAAAAATATTTAATGTTGGGCTTGCAGAACTCACTTTGTTTACAGCATCCGAGTATAAGCAAATAATGAAAGTCATGCCTTTTATTCTTGAAGGTCTTCTCGAAGGAAAAAAAATGAGTCACTTGTGCAAATGTATGTTAATTGGAATAAAATGTATAATAATCGAAACAATGTAAATTTATACAGTCTGACCTTTCCCAATTTGAGGTCAGTAATTTTAAAATCAATAAATATCGATATTATTTTGTTACTTGCTATTTAAGATAACTACATGTTTTTAAAACTTTTCTATGATTAATTATTTTATGGATGGGTTATCTCATAGTTAGATAATATCATTATTTGTTATTTTATAGATGTCAATTCAAACCTGAGCAAAGAATTTTGCTAATATCCTTGGCTCATTTACGAAAAACAATTGTCGATATTTAAAGTTTTACCACTGGTACACCACACTATTGAGACAATTAAAGAATACGGAAATCTGAATGGACTAAGTGCTGATACATATGAAGCACTTCATAAACAATATATTAAAAACCCTTATAGAAAATCTAATAGATGAAATATTGATTCGCAGATTTTAAAAAAAGTACTTGCGTATAACTTTTTTTGATACATATCTGATATTGCAATTTAATTTGTACTAATTCGATACTTATCATTATTAGATAACATGAATACTTACACTTAAAGAAATTTATAAACACATTGTATTACAAAACGACAAACCTAAAATTAATATGAGGAAGTTTGGCAAAAGTTATTGCACTATGCCATTACATCTTTTAAGTTCAATAATTGAATTATATGAGAATGACAATGAATGTAGTCCTGAAATTCTTGAAGGTTTGAAACAGTTTATTTCTACAATGAAAGACTATTTAAACCTTATACCTGCATTTGAAAAAAACATAAAAGAATCAGAAATAACGTTGCATTTATATGTGTCTTTTACACTACCTAATAAAGATCAAGTAAGGGCTACGAAAAATTACCATAATGCACCAATGTTTAGTGACATTGCTGTTTATATGGATTCTGAACAAGAAATTAAAACATTTAGTGGATATTGCTTCGCAAAAGTATGTAAATTTATTTATGAATAATTATATAAATTTAAAACTTAAATTAATAATTTATACATTTAGGTTTTATTGTTAGTTTGTATAGAATTAGAAAATACTACTACATTGAATCTTGCACTTATTCGTTGATACGATTTTAAATTTCCCAAAAACCCTACTAAATTTTATAAATATGAGTGTCCTTATTTACAAGTCACGAACATTTATAATATGGTTCCAGTGGAGTCAATTAATCATATTGTTCATATTGTGCCACAATTTGACGCAATTAATTCATATTATGTCAATGTTTTTATTTAGAATTAGATAAATATTTATTGCAATATAAAAATTATATAGTTATATATCAATATTACAGAGTATGTATAAGTTATATTTTCATTATAGCGAATCGAGTATCTCTGGAAAATCATAATATGATGTAATTTATTATGTATGATCAGAATTCAGGGCATTTCAATAGTGCATTGCTTTGATATTTTACAGTACGTCTATGTCGCTTCTCTATCAACTTGATTGTATACTAAACCTATGTGCATACTGTTATTGTACTACCAAAGCCATGAGAAATCTGATGTAATATAGTAAACCTCTACAATACGACTTAGAGAATATAAGAAAAAATGCATTTATAGAGGTCATGCATATATTTGGTTCAGAAGGTGCGCTTATGGAGGTTTCATGTATTAATCCTTTTGGAGGCAAATTCACCACGGTGAAAACTTAAATTTTTACTTGACTCTGTAACACTTACTTCTAGTAATGATAACTGTTTGTATAGTATTAAATATAATAATCATTACAGTATATAAAACCTAAATATAAAATTTATATGTAGATTTTATATCTATTTAGAATCTATATAAAAATTTTATTTATATTTTATTGTTATATAAAAGTTATATAAATATGTTATATAATTTTTACAAATATATAGAAATTATATAATTTTTTTATAGTATTATATTTAAATAAATATAAGCAAATTTTATTTTATTTATTTTTTTATTTTTTTTTATTTTTTGGTATTAAGGTAAGGCCTTGCTCGTATCTTTATTGGTAGTTTAAAAAATAGTAGCTACATAGAGCTGCTATGTACAAAAAGTAATTTTCTATATAAATGCTATGGCTAAAACCAACACTTGCAGT